TGCAAGGGGGAAGAAAGACAACTAACCGCTTCCCAACTCCCTCCCGTGGACAAGAAGCGAAGTCACGACACAGGCTTCTGGGAGCCGAAGGCAGAAACATGGGGAGATCTGCTGAGCTGCGCGTGTGTGAGTTTGGAGAAGCAGTGCTGAGGTGAAGCATCCAGAGACTCTATTGAAGCGGCTCTTTGTCTTTGCCTGTCCAGGCCTGCACCTCAGGGTCACAGGAGAGGCTTCTGTGTCCTCTACAAATCAGGAAACTGGGCCAGTGGAGCAGGACCTTCAGACACCTGGACCAGTGGAGCAGGACCTTCAGACACCTGGGCCAGTGGAGCAGGACCTTCAGACACCTGGGCCAGGAGGGCAGGACCTGGGCTTCAGGAGCCTGAGGGTGTGCCTCTGCTGCCTGCCAGGAGACAGCCTAGTCTGAGGCCTCCGTTAAGGAGACACACTCGCATTATTAATGTACAAGATGCACCTCTGACACATGGCTTCACAATGCACCCAAGACAAAATCTCAGGCTCGCCCAGCATCCCCAGGCACTTGCCCCTCTGGTGCCCACTCTGCACTCAGAGAAAGGCCAGTACAGCGGGAAGCAGCCCAGGGGCCCAGTTAGAATTGGGGGGAGGGGGTTGCAGGGGAGTGCAGCTTCTACTGGGGAACCATTTGGAGAAACGATGTTGTTCTGTTGTTCAGTCACTAAATCATGTCCAAATCTTTGTGACCCCATGGACTGGAGCACTCCAGGCTTCCCTGTCCATCACCAGCTCCCAGAATTTGCCCAAACTCACATCCATCGAGTCAGTGATGTCATCCAACCATCTCATCCTCTGTCACTTCCTTCTCTTCCTGCCTTCTGTCTTTCCCAGCATCAGGGTCTTTTCCAATGAGTCAGTTCTTCCCATCAGATGGCCAAAGGATTGGAGCTTCAGCTTCAGCATCAGTCCTTCCAATGAATATTCAGGACTGAGCTCCTTTAGGACTAACTGGTTTGATCTCCTTGCAATCCGAGGGACTCTCAAGAGTCTTCTCCAACACTACAGTTCAAAAGTATCAATTCTTCGGTGCTCAGCTTTCTTTGTGGTCCAACTCTCACATCTGTACTTGACTACTGAAAAAACCACAGCTTTAACTGTATGGAACATTGTTGGCAGAGTGATGTCTCTGCTTTTTAATATGCTGTCTAGGTTTGTCATAGCTTTACTGCCAAAGAGAATGTGTCTTCTAATTTCATGGCTGCAGTCACCGTCTGCAGTGATTCTGGAGCCCAAGAAAATAAAATCTCTCACTGCTTCTACTTTTTCCCCATCTATTTGTCCTGAAGTAATTGAAGACAGGAGGAGAAGGAGACGACAGAGGATGAGATGGTTGGATGGCATCACCGACTCGTTGGACATGAGTTTGAGCAAGTTCCGGGAGTCAGTGAAAGACAGAGAACCCTGCAGTGCTGCAGTCCATGGGGTCACAAAGGGTCAGACACGACTGAGTGACTGAACTGAACTGAATGGGACCAGATGCCATGATATTAGTCTTCTGAATGCTGATGATGACAGAGCACCAACGATTAACCCATGTAACGTCACAAAGGGTGCAAGCCCCTGACAGGAGCCTCAAACTTCCTGGGACAAGGGGTGCCCTACGAACTTCAGGGGTTATTCAGCCTTAGTGGAAGGAGCAGTGAGAGCAGACACACAGCCTGTGAAGTTGCGGACCCCCCAGGCAGGCAAACTGCAGGGAGCGGTGGGCCCCCTCAAGCCCACCTGGGGTCCTTCTCTCTCCTCGCCCCTCCCCACATCAGCACGTCCCACCCTCCACCTCCTCTCACCTCCTGATGTCAACCCAGAGGTTCCCTCAGAACTGCAGCCCCGCCCTGCGGCAGTGAGAGTCCAACAATCCCTTCAGGACTCCAAAGGCTCCCCTGCAGCCACCAAAACACTGATGCCCATGGGCAGCTGGCCTGGTCCTGCCACAGCAGGAGCCCCAGGCTCCAGCCCCCACCCCAGCCCAGACCCTTGGGAATGCACACTGTCCCAGTCCCCAGCACCGTGACCACTGGCGACTTGCCTGCTCACAGCCCTGAGGACCCCACAGTCAAGGTCAGAGCTACATCCAGACCTGGTGTTGGCTCCCCACGGCAGCGTGCGGACGGGAGAGGAAGCTGGGGTCTCACTAATGAGAACACTGATCAGGAACTTGGGCCACTAACTGCAGCATGGGGATGAGAGCCTGTCACCTAGCAACTGTTCCACAAGTATCTTTGGAGGAACGAACATGGCCTGAGAACATGGCCCGTCCAGGAGCCATGGTGTTTGCGTGAGCAGGAGGAGTAACAAGTGACAGAGAACACAGGGGGATGAAAGGTAGAAGGCCAGAGGGGCTAAGACGTGTTCTTTGTCCTGAAACCAGTAAAAAGCTACTGATAGAGCTTGATCCAGTACAGCAAATGACAGCAAATGGTTCCCAAGAAACCAGAGCAGAGGTGGAGGAAGGGTTAGAAAATAGTTTCACCATTTAGGCCAAGAACATGGCCCAAACCAAGGGGGTGGCTTTGGGACTGGACAGCACAGACTAGGCTGGTTTGTGAGCTGTTAGTGATGAAAACTCAGCTAGGCTTCATCTTCCACTGGATGCCACATGCAGGAGGGAGGAATCCAGGATGAATTAAAGATTTCTGAACAGACAGAGGGGCTGCCAGTCAGGAAGCAGGGCACTGAGAAGGGAGCCCTGGTCCAGGTTTGGAGAAAATGAGTTTGATTCTGAAAATGCTGAATCTGACATCACACACCCACGTGACGGCGGCCGGTTGCAGTTGGAGGCCCAGGCTTGGTGCTTGGAACAGTTTGAGCTGGAAGCACGGCATGTAGGTTGGATTTAAGCCACAAGAGTGGATGGGCTCATGCAGGAAGGCCATAGAGAACACGGAAAGTAAGAGAAGTCTGAACACAAATCCTAATGAAAACTATGCCGAGGTGCAGGTGGGGAGTGCCATAGGAACAGGAAAGGAGCAGAGAGAGAAAGACCAGGGTGTGGGGTCTCATGGACATCCGGAGAGGGACAGAGGCAGACAGCAGTCCAGTGACTTGGAAGTTGCAGTCCAGTGACTGGGCAGTCGTCTGGAATCTTGGCAACATGACCTCAGGGGATGGTGGGAGCAGGGGAAGGAGGGTGGAAGAGGAGAGGAGACCGCACAGCGTCCTTGAACCAACCTTCCAGCTTCCAAGTATGTTCCCATCCATCAGTATAGGAAGTACTGCTGACTGGACAGCGCTGGCACCACTGCCCTAAAATGCCACCAGAAAGGTGACTTAACCTTGTCACATCTACACAGCCATCTTTACTATGAAATCACTTCATTTGGGAGGATGCAACTCTTTACATTTCTAAACTTTATTTTATTTATATTTCTGGTCACACCACAAGGGGATCTTAGTTCCCCTACCAGGGATTGAACCTGGGCCTTGGCAGTGAAAGTGCCGAGTCCTAACCTCTGGACTGCCAGGGAATTCCCAGGGCACAACTTTTTAAAAAAATGATCACAGTATAAAAATAGGAACCACAGAAGTGCGTGTGTGAGGTGTCAGTGGAGAATATGCCGTGGAGAACTTTCTGTGTTTGTGCCTATATTTTGCAAAGCCCTACAATATTTCATAAGCTGTACACTTGCACTAGAAAGTGCTCACTATTCTCTGACAGACACGAAGGTGGATATTCCAGGATTCGCTGTGCAGCACTGCAGGGGATATTTAATTTTTATTCATCTTGTGTCCATATGCAAGCATTCATGCAAGTTGTATGCCAAATATGGAATGGCTGAGTCAAAAATGTGCATTTAAAATTTTTCTAGATTCTGCCAAATTGTGACGGCTATTGCCAAAAGCCAGCATGATGACCACAACAATATGCACCTCAGGACCTGACCCCACCAACCCCAGGACAATGTCTATCTTCTTAGCTTCCATAGAGCTAACCAGTGAAATGTGGCATTGTGCTGAGTTTTTAATTTGCAGTCCCCTAATTATTAGGGACATCAAGCAGAAAGGAGAAAGGGGGCATTTCAAGAGAACAGCTCCTCCTCCCAGGGACTGCCAGGGAAGGTGGGAGAGACTAGCCAAATCCTGGTGCTCTGGGTAACGCGGCTTCCATTACTTCTTCAAAGGAAAAGATACGCTTTATCCTGCAAACTTTAGTATACCTCACCAGTGTGCGTGCCTCACCTCTGATGACCTTTCCAAGGCAACTGCCACACGGCCCAGCTCCCACTTATGGCCAACAGCCCAGACGTGTGCCCACATCTCACTGACACAGTGACACAGTCACACTTCTGATTGTTTCCACTGCAATTTTTAATTCCTTACAGGCCTGGGGCATGTGTGAGGCCTCTGTGTGTGTACCAGACCATCTTCCAAGGACCTGCCACCATTCAGACAACAGACACGAATCCAAGCAAACGAACCCCCTCCTCCAGACCTCTGACACAGTGCAGCTTCCAAAACAGCCACAGGCACAGACGGCTCAGATCTCTGTTGAGCCGGAAGAGGTAGAGACACTGAGTTCCAGAGTCCAACACTGCCCCCCCACCCCCTGCCAGCCTGAGAAACTCTCTGCATGAGTGTTGGGGTATCCGGGGCCCCCCAGAGTATCGGCCAGTCTCCTCACTTCGGGGTCCACTGAGCCACGCCCCAGCAGACAGTGCACAGGTGAGGCTTGTCACAGGCACAGGTTCGGGAGCAGGTGGATGCTGGGGCCGGGCCGGGCAAATCAGGGATTCTGCCTCCACGGCCGTAGACACTGCCCTCGTGCGGGCATGCTAGGTGGCCTCTGGTGTGTCATCACCTTCCCAAATGGGCAGTTTCCTTTCCTGAGAATTTGGGATAATGACCATTTTGGGGGACTCAGAACACCATGGGAATAACTGCAAATTCCGGGCAAACATTATTTGTGACTATTTCATCGCTGCAGTGAACATCCCCAGAGGTATAATCTACACTCAGAGACAATGCTGTCAATGCTGCAGCCCTGCCCTGAAAGGCGTGACGCCCTCAATGTCCTTCCTGGGAGTGAGGGTGGCCAGCTCTTGCTCCTGAGACTCCACCTGCCCCAAACGTATGAGTAAGGGCTCGGGGATGAGGGGAGAGCTTTGTGAAGAGACAAAGTGAAGAAAACCAGAAGTTGTGACCAGACGCATAACAGCAAGAGGCCGTTTCCTTGGGGTCTGGAGCCAAGGGGAGGGCGCAGTGACCAGGTCATCAGGGTCTTAGGGAGAGTGGCACAGGCGTCTCTGGGCTTGGCCAGTCAGCAGGGAGCAGGGATACACACTCTGAGCTCATGCCTCTGCTCTCCAACATCCCACTGGTCCTCCCATCAACTGAACCCCCAGAACCCGAAGGAAGCAAACCTGGGGCCTGCAGTCGGCGGCAATCAGAAGTCCACTCCCAGAGCACAGAGCACAGCAGGAACACTGGAAACATAGTGACCTGGACACTCAGGAAAAGGAGATGTCATTCATAGACATATTTTTCTTTTTGCTGCAGCAACAAATAGCCCCAAACCCCAGGGACTTTTGGTAACAGCCACGCGTCTGTCCAGGGATGAACCAGTTCAGGGTGCTCCACACCGTCCTTCCTGAGGCCAGCAGAGCCCCCCTCACCCCCACCACCGCCTCCGCCTAGAGCACGTCCAGCCTCGCGGACAGAGAGGCAAACCCAGCCAGCTGCAACAGCGCCCCCTGCAGACGGCACCCACTGCCTGAAGCCCAGCACACAGCCGCTCTGGGCCCCAGGATGTGGTGACCACTGTGAGCGGCTTGTAGGAGGACAGCCAGCATATCTAACAGACGTGAACATGATGTAACTACCAGGCTGTGAGGGGTACCCACACCTACCTGGTTCTCACACAGGGAACACAGCTGCCCCTCCCCAGGGAGAGCAGCCCTGAAGACTCACTGGTCACCACCCACCCCCAAAATGTTCTCACCACCCATCAAGCATAGCTTCTCAGAGCCCAGAGACTTGTGAATGCCTGACCCCAAAAGCTATCTCCCCCTTAACTCACACAGCATGTTAAAGTGTGATAAAACCCCAGTCCCACTGGAAAAGGGAACGTCAACCCCAGCTAGTGGAATTTTGTGTACGTGTGCGAATTTTTTCGGGAAGCCATCCGTAATCGATAAATGTCTCAAAGAAGTTCTGAATTATAAATAAGTTAGGAATTTGAAATAAAAAGCATAGTACCTACTGAGAACTCAAACTTTCTGCTCTGGTAGAAGTCTCTTATGACAAAAGCATCGTTGGAACACACATTTCTAGGTCACAGAAGTTGACTAGGAAGAGAGGTCACCACTTGCGTCTCTGATGCCCTGCTCTCAGGAGTGGAAACTGAGAGGCTTCAAGCAGATGTGACACCTCCGTTTCCAGCACTAACACTATTTTGTCTCTTTGTGTGAGCTCTGGGAGTCTGGGCAGAGCCACTGAATAGTTCACCTTTAAATGGTTAATTTTACATTATACAATTTACAATTTTTTAAGAAGTATTTTAACTGCATGTTGATGCAATGTCAGAAATCTAGTAAAACATCTTGGATGCTCAATGTAAAGAGGCAGAGGTGGGTCTTTTCTGAGCCCCGGGTGCTCAGCCCCAGACCTGAAGCCCCTCCAGGAGGCTCTGAACTCCAGGGCTCCGAGAAGACTGAAGCCCATCTCCCTGCTTCAAACAGAAAAGCACTGAGGACCAAGGATGTAGCAAATGCTTAAGAAGCTCCGGCATTAGTGGAAGATCAGAGACACGTTCCTTGTTTCTCCCATGTGAGAAGACACCTGAGCACAGCAGCGTGGCAATACATAGATGTATGTGGACAGCTCTGGGGGAGGCTGGCACCAGGTCACCAGGCGGCCTGTACCATGGCCGTCATGTCTGAGGACTGAACTAACACAGGGAAGGTGAGTGCAGGAGACGGTGGGGCGGGGTGTGGGGGGGTGCAGGAAATAATCTGGTCTATAAAGTGGTGTGAAAGTCGTGCACACACCTGGGCTTCAGATAAAAGACAGACACACCTGTGTACTTGGGAGTGATGATGTCACAACTGGCCAACACTTGGCCTCGAAACTCGTCATACAGAAGCCAGGACATGTCCCTGGGGCTCCTGTAGCAGAAACACAGCCACCAGGACCAGTGTCTGGACAAGAGGGTGTGGTCCTAGGCTTGGAACAGGCAGAGTGACCAGCATGGTGTGGACTTAGTCCCCGTGGTGACCGTCAAACCCCCACACCCCCGCACCTGCTCCCACTCTGATCACAGATCCTGATCACCAGTAGGGCCCAGGTGGAGGCAGTCCGGTGGCCCTGGGTCACAGCCTGTCAGAGTTACCCTGTAGGTTCTGAAGTCGAGAAGACAGGACTCTTCACTTAGCAGACACACACACTGCCGAGATCCCTCTGTGCTTCCTTCACGGTTATATTCAGAGGCACAGCGACACCTCTGCCCCTGCAGAGCTGAGGTTGCATTCAGCGAGGAGATGCCCACACTGCAGGGGAGACAGCAACACTCGCCTGTATCCGAGGCATCTGGGTCCCTGTGGACAGGCATCCTTCCCTGGGGAATAGTGTCCTCCGTTCTTTATGAGGGTGGGTACTGCCCTCTGCTGATGACTCAGAATTGGGGGAGGGCAGCTGCCTGGTGCAGGCAGAGCAGGCATCTCCCTGACACCCTCCCCCATCCGTCCCCTCTCGGCTGGTGGGAGGAGGGGACCGGCAGGCAGACCCTCACAGCTGTGTCCAGCCTCCTGCCACCCGCTCATCACCAAGGCAGCGCCCATCACAGCCTGGACCTTCGTCCTGGCAAAGCTCAGGGTCACCAGGGAGACCCCTGAGCACAGACATGTCAGGGACCTAGGCTCCTCAAAGGGAACAGGAATCCAGGTGCAACCCTCCTGGAAGTCACGGCCACATACAGGGTCCCTCTGCCCAGCACTGATGCTTGGAGTGGAGCCTGACCCTCACAGAGAAGCTTGTCACTCGGGACAGAGCGCCCTCCCCAGCGTGGCCGTGTGAATGTGTGTCGACCCCATGAGGCGCAGAGCGATACCACCCGGGTCCCCTTCCAGAACAGGGTGCCCCCTTACGGACTGACACAGAAAGTCAAATAACACACAACACTAGGTTTTCAAATACACGTGTGGGTGTTTACAAGTAGGAAACATAATAAGAAAGGATCTTCTCGAAGTATCTAAGGAGCCTATGCTGTTTCCATCTTTCTAAGTATAGAGAAACCATGTCCTAATATTTAATGGGGCTTCCCAGGTGGTTCAGTTGGTAAAGAACCCACCTGCTAATGCAGGACACTCAAGAGACAAGGGTTCTCTTGTCTTAGTCAGGAAGACCCCTTGAAGGAAGAAATGGCAACCCGCTCCAGTGTCCTTGCCCGGAGAATCCCATGGACAGAGAAGCCTGGTGGGCTACAGTCCATGGGGTCGCAGAGTCGGACAGAACTGAAAGAAAAGTGGATTTGTTAAAATGAGTCTGTTGTCTGATGACTGGGTTAAAATTAAGATTTCAGAACATGATTTCAGTTAGTTCAGTCACTCAGTCATGTCCGACTCTTTGCAACCCCATGAACCACAGCACGCCAGGCCTCCCTGTCCATCACCAGCTCCCGGAGTCCACCCAAACCCATGTCCATTGAGTCGGTGATGCCATCCAACCATCTTATCCTCTGTCGTCCCCTTCTCCTCCTGCCCTCAATCTTTCCCAGCATCATATGATTTAAATCACTACAAATTCTTTCCTTGGAAGAATACTTAAAAAAAAAAAAATCCTTTTATTTCTTGAGACCCCCTTAGGCCATGAAGTTAATACACTCAACAATGCTTGTTCTGCATTTAATTATCCACGTCCTCCTTATTCCCACACCCAGAAGTATTCACTTCACTTTGTCCCTATTGGAAAGAAACGAAACTTCTTGGCAGGCAACCTGAACGAACAGCATCTAGGGAAGCAGCTCAGACCCGCGGGTCGCAGGAGCCTCGAGAACACCCTGCAGAGGCAGCTCTTGGCCCATCCTCCCCGGCGGCCTGAGTCACGACACAGCACTTCCCCTGGGTCCTGGGCTCAGCTGCATGGCCTCAGTCAAACCTCCGGTCACGTACTGGGCAGGGGGCCACTGTCACTGCCCCTCTTCCAGAGCATCGGCCGGGCCTGGACCCGACTCAGGCCTCCCTCACCCACAACCAGCAGGCTGGAGACACGGCAGGAAACGCCCAGGGGCCTCGGCCTGCCCCCAACTCGGGCCCCACAGCACCGTCTGTACACACAGCAGCCCCAGGAGCACCTGCTGAATGCCTGTGCCTCAGGGGCTTGGCCTGGTACTGGCGACTCCTCCTCAGTCTCCCAAGCCCTGCAGTGACCGCTTCAGGTGATTTTCAACAGGTAACACTGGTCTCATAGAATGAGTGGGAAGTGTTCTCTCCTATTTTTTTGGAAGTCTGTCTGAATTCTCCTTAAATGTCGGGTGCAATCCATCAGTGAAACCTTCTGAGCCTGGGCTTTCCTTCGTGGGAAGTTGTTTTTATTACTAATTCAGTCTCTCTCGTGCTAAGCCTCTTCAGACTTTTTCTTGGTCTGTAACGTACTTCACAGCTTTCTAGGAATTGGTCTCGGTTAGCTGATGTGTCCCCCAGACCCCCTCTCAGCCCTTTTACTGGGGGCAGAAGAGGGTCTGAGAAGATTCCCCCAGGGGTATGGACGCAGTGTTCCCACACAACATGGAGAAGTCCCCAGCCTGCAAAGGTTCTCTATGTGGCCGATCAGCTGGGGGACATGGCCAGGCCTGCGGGAGAGGCCCCGGACCCCTGGATCAAGCCCCAAGCCCGGCTGGGCAGGCGCCCCTGGCTGAGGGGCGGGAGGAGCCAGGCGCAGTTCCTCCACTCCAACCAGCTCAGTAGCAGGGACCCCCGCCCAGGCAGTTGCACGTGCTTGCTGCCCAGCCAGGTCCCACCCCTTACCTGGAGCTCTTCTTACCTGAGGGCCTGGGCTCTGGGCCTGGGCTCCATCGGTTCGGGCCATTGAGGGTTCCCCAGGACAGGTGCACACCCAGCTGGGCCCCCACACACCTGTGCGCTCTGTACGTCCCAATACCCACATCCAGGATGCTAAGGGCACAGTGGGGACAGTCAGTGGCTCCGGGAACATTCAGCCTCCAGCTCTGCCACAAGGCTCAGACCCAGAGAAGCCCCCAGTGCACTGAAGGACCAGAGGACAGAAGCCAGGCACCCCACAACGAAGCCCCTCAGAACCAGGCCTGTCCTATTTGCAACCTATTCTTCACCCATATTTCTCCTCCAGTAAATTTAGATTGTAAACATTTGGAGAGAAGCAGAAACCACACCTCCACCCCCATTGCAACTAGTGCACTGAGATACTCACCAGGTGGTGGGAATTAAGTAAATTCTTAATTGAGTGAAGCTGTTGGAGGCTTTCTCAAAAAGCCTTTTCTATTGTGAAACATCACAAACCCAACATCACAGCTGAGCGAATTATCCCCTCAATTCTCAGGACCCTCTCGACAAAACAACAGGATCCAGGCTCTTTAGTTTTACCACAGAAGTCTAAACAGTATAGGTCAGGTTCTGCTGTTATTTTTTTAAACAGAATCACACAGTACGAGCTCCTGTCTTCTCATCCCCATGTCTGTAGCTTCATCCACATTCTTGTATGCTGAGCAACGTATGGACGGAAATACCACAGTGCTTCTCCTGCCCAGAGTCCAGCCACCACGCACACCTCTGGTAACTTTCTTGGGGCCCATGCACAGCAGCTGGTTTATACTTGAGAATGAATGACTGTGCCTTGGGGAAGGTATATCCTAGATTTCAAAAGATGATGCAAGTTTCGAGCGAGAGTGTTTATACTTCCTCCCTCAGCTGTGCATCCTCACCAGCACTTGTTGTCACTCTAATTTTAACCACTGGGGAAGTATCAGTGATAACTCATCGAGCACATTTTTATGTTTCTGGGCCATGTGTGTATCATCTTGTGTAACTTGTTGATTAGTACCCAAGCTCTTTCTTGCTGCTGATAGGACTTTTACTTTACATTTGAGTTCTTTTTCTGGTTATTTGCAAAGCAAATATCTAACTTTGCCTTTTTTTTTTTTTAACTGAAGTATACATGATTTACAATGTTAGTTTCAAGTATACAGCAAAGTGATTCGGTTACAAACACACATACTTTTCCATTATAGGTTATTAAAATATGCTGAATGGTACGGCTGAATCCTTTAGCTCTTCACCTGTAACTACCACAACATTGTTAATTGGCTATCCTCCAATACAAAATATGAAGTTTAGTTTGAAAGGTAACAATATATTTCCCTGGGCTATACAGTAAATCCTTTTAAGCTATTGTATATATTGTACTGTGTATGTGTTAATCTCAAACTAATTTATCCCTCCCCTGCCTTCCCTTTTGGTAACCATAAATTTGTTTTCTGCATGAGTCTGTTTTGTAAATAAACTCATTTGCATTGTTTTTAGACTCCACATAGACGTGGTATCATGCCTTATTTCACTTAGTATGATAATCTCTAGGTCCCTCCATGTTGCTGCAAATGGCAATAATTCATTATTTTATGACTGAGTTATATTCTATTTATTTATATGCCACATCTTCATCCATTCATCTGTTAACAGACACGCTGCTTCCATGTCTTGGCTATTTAGAGTGCTGCTATGAACATTGGCCATTTTTGTCTTTTCCAGAATGTATGCCCAGGAGTGAGACTGCTGGATCAGATGGTCATTCTATTTTTGGCTTCTTAAGGAAACTTCATTAAGTTTCCATAGTGGCTGTACAACTTACATCCCCACAAACAGTGCAGGAGGGTTCCCTTTTCTCCACACCCAGCATTTATTATTTCTAGACTTTTATGATGGCCAGTTTTTTCCTTTTCTTAATGGTATCTTGGTTCTATTATACATTTATTTATTGATCTCTATTATTATCTTTATTTTCTGTCTACTTTCCTTAAGTTTAATTTTGCTTTCTATGACCTCTTGAGATGAATGTTTAGAGGATCAACCTTCAGCCTCTCACAACTTTAAATATGTATGTTTTGTGTTTATACACTTGCTTCTG